TGCACTTCAAAGTAGCGAAATATGGCATTTTTCTACGGTTTTCAAGGTGGACGGGACCATAATGTTCAAAGCGAAAAAGTGGACAGAGCTCAAATTTGCGGAACTCCGCGAACTGTTGGCACACAAGTAACACAAAGTAACCACGTATTTTAATACTTTCGAAAAGACATGTACCCAGCAGCGGGTATCTAATGCGTTGATGACAAACGACGCTCTCTTGGTACGCAAAAGATGCGTAGTCCAAAATTGTGTTCAAATAATTACTTTAACACTTTCAAATCAATGACTTGTAAAAAATGGTCAGTATACAGTATCAGTGTTACTAATTAATTACATGTAGCAATTTCAGTAATAACACTGTGTCGAGTAAATAAGCCTATAGGTAATTCTTTTTAGCAACGCCTTTCGAGTTTCGAAAGCACAGATAACTTTGCAGTGCGTATGCGTATGTATCGTTAGCATTCTGGGGTATCGGAAGTGATCATAAGATTAACATCGAATACCGGACTCTCTTCAATTGTTATCTCTGCATTTTACTTACTTTCCAAAATTGTAGTTAAACATTTATATTTTCTGACATGAATCAATTGGTAAGTTTGTAGGTTTGCATGCATCTTTCATTCTCCATTATCTTTTTTTAAAACATGTAAATATATTGTCAATTTGATAATATGTTGCGGGCACCATACTGCCGATTATGAAGCACTGAGAACAGTCCATACTTTATGGTTATAAAAATATTTAACTCCCAACTTATAGACCTAAGCGTTATTGCCACTAAATACATTTAGACGTGAAATAAATATATGCGTAACGGTTTCTACTACGCCGTAAATGAATTTCTAGAATGCAAAAATAGCGCGCAGATCAATTAAACCCACTAATTATGTGAGTCCACTGTAATTAAACCTGTCCGATACAGTTTGGGTTGTCTTTTTGATTATTTGTGTTTTGAGCGCAGTTGACATACAGCTCACAATTTTACTCCCAAGATACTGCGCTCCACGAGAGAGAACTTCTGACGATTTTCAAAACCGAAATTGAGCACAGTTAGTAGATATGGTATAGGATTTTTTTAGGAGTCCAGGATTTCTATTTTCAGGCAGAGATTTCCCTTCATCAGGTCATTCATTGACCAAAACAATAACTATTTTCTAATAATTTTTACTTCTTTCGACACACTTTAATCTTGGTAGGTACATTGAACTGCATTTCAATTTCAACATAACCATAAGCCATGGCATCACTGGTATCTCATTACAAGTATTTACGAGCACTTTCGATGCAACCACAGCGCCTGCGCGCGCTCACGCCGCCTTTAGCAATATGCTCGTTGGTTGCTATTTTGCTATCAACAGGCTGTTCATAATATTTATTTAGTATTTTCAGCGATCCGTAGTCAAGCTAGCAATCTCAAAGTTTATTCATGTCTTTCTGCCTACCTTTACGTCACAACAGGTATAATACGGAACTTTGAACTTTTTTTTATCAAATTAAGTGAACAGGACGAACAAGTCGTGCGCCTGATGGTAAGCTTCACGCCTACCCATAACAGTTGCAGTGTCATTCAGAGCTTTAAGATCTGAGCACTGCCACTGCGCCCGTCACCCTGAGACATAAGTTGACAAGTTCCGTGTGGCTGTAATTTCATCAGCACCCTTCAAAACCGAAACACAGTAATGCTTACATTACTGCTTGGCGGCAGAAATAGATAAGGTGGCAGTACTACCCCAGACGAAACTTTCACAATGAGTACAAGTGCTACTAAGAACTAGATGTGTCCGCTTGGACACATTTAAAAACTAGACTTTGTAAATAAATTATAATTGTAATTAGAATACAAGTTCGCCTGAAAATAACGAGCAAGTCAATCGAGAGAATGATATTTTTGACACTGAGATGCAAATGGAAAAGGTGCACGTAATATGGAAAGTTTCTAAGTCCAAAGGAAGACAGTTTTTCAGACATATTTGTTTAAAGTTTGTATCAACCTGTGCACAAAATTCGCATAACAAAGTTTCAATCACGAAGAAAGTAACAAGCGCAAAACCGCAACTTTGCGAATACAAACAGATAGTTTCCTACTTTGCATTGCGACAATATACGCAGAACTATGGCTTCCTACGTAAGATAGGTCCATTGCATAGTAGACACTTGTTCATTCTTGCAAGATTTAAATGTAATTCTATTACAGTTACCCTGAAAATATTACTGAGAAAGTATGTTAGTGTTTTTTTAGGACCAAAAAGCAAATATTGTGATGCAGCATACGCGCATACAGCAGAGGCTAAAGACTAAGGTCTTCAACCAGTGTGCCCTGCCAGTATTCACCTATGGCATGGCAACAATGACTCTGACGAAGAAATCCGCAGAAAACTTACGAATCGCACAGAGGGCAATGGAAAGAGCATTGTTAGGAATAACATTGCTCGATCGTATACCGAATAAGCGTATTCGACGGATAACTAAAGTCGGGGACGTTGTACGCAAAATTGAGACGATGAAATAAAAATGGGCAGGCCACATAGCTATGATGGATCCAGATCGGTGGACAAGGAGGATCATGGACTGGTGACCATGGGCCAACACGCACGGCAGAGGTCGTCCGCCACTTCGTTGGGTGGATGACTTGAAAAGTTTCGCGGGCCGCAACTGGTTGCATGTAGCACGGGAGCAACATAAATGGAGAGATATGGAGGAGGCCTGTATCTGAAGACGGATGGAGTAGAGGCTGCTTGATGATGATGATGATGTTAGTACCTACATAGTAGTAATCTAAGTTTACAGACGATAGTTAAGTAATAAATATTATTAGCAATCTAACTTTAAACCTATGCATTGCGTTACATAGGATCCATAATCCATCGAGTAATTCGCGATTAGGATCATTCTAAACGCTTCACACGGTTACGGTAACCCAGAAAATGATTACTTTGAACCGGATAGCGACAAGCTATAGGCCGTAGCAACATTGCAGCTCTCCTGTTACTCTGCATTATAATTTTCTACAAAGTTAATTTAACCTTTAAAATGAGTATAATAAAACTGATGCATAGATATTTATTCTTCGTCAAATCGTACAAATTGCCTAATTGTAAATACAGTAAACAAAATTCAAACAGACTCGATTGTTTTCTTTGCCGTCGTTTTTAAAGTACACTCACCTCCTACTCCGAAAATAAAACAACCACGTCATTATCGACTTCTATATCTAGACATTGGTCAATAACATAATTATTATTGAGAAATTAATAAACTAGACTCTGCGTTGAATTGCTTGAAAAAAAAACAAACATGAAATACTGCATCTGTTATGCTATAGTCGCGTCGTGGTCGGCACTGCTGTTGTCCGAGGCTGACTGTCGCAACAAAACCAAAAACTAAGCAGAGTCAGATTCTCTTAGTGTAAGATTGCTACTGTACTCGTTTTTTTTATTAGTAGTCTTCTATTTGCATAAAGAGTCTAAGAAGACTCTTACATGGAATACTGCTGCCATCTATGGGGTGGCTCTGTTAAATACGAACTGGCCACTTTGGCTTCAATTGACAAGCGTGCCAATAGGCTTATAGATGACTCGAACTTAGTAGAGCCTTGAACACCGCCGTAAAGTTGCTTGCTTATCGGTATTCTACAGAATGTATCACGGAGAGTGTGCGATAGAATTGCAGGATTAATGACACCTACCCCTTTCTATCATCGAGGGACTTGACGTAGTCTTGAGTTCCACTCCTATGTTGTAGATATTCCAAAGATTCCCACAATACGCTTTCACATTTATATGGCGAACGGCTATGGACGGAAATTCCCTGCCTGCAGACTTATTTCCTGAACGTTATAACTTGGGCCTTTTCAAGGCGAGAGTGAAAAGGCATTATTTAAGTGTGCATGCTCCATTGTCGACCTCATCGTCACTTACCATACGGTGAAACGGGGTCAAATGCGCAATTATATAGTTATATACCATGTAAGATACTATAGTCACGTAAGAATGGTTTCTCAACCTGCGACTATATGTCAACTGATCTTCAATAACACAAGACGTATAGGGTGAAGAACTCATTATGCTTGACAGTTACGATTTAAATTCAGCTCTATGACGTTTATAATAAGAACGAAGCGAAAAAGTTTTTTTCGTAATATTGGAGGCAAACGATCAGGCATCGACATCCATGGAGAAATAAGTTAAAAATTATTTTAACTACATTGTAAGGCAAACGAAAAATGTACAGAATAGTGAAACAAATTGTAAATACTTCGAGTCTAGTCAGGCTTACCATTTGGTATAGACCAATCGTTCACGAGACACACGCGTCTGTCACTGATTCAACTTTAAGATCCATTGAAAATCAACCAGGAATTTCGATTGTGGCTTTAACTGAATGAGACCCTTTTACGTATGCTATATGCGAGCATGACAGTATTTTAAATAGTCGGTATGTTGTTTAAGACGTTCGCCTCTTTTTTCTTGTTATATAGTTTTGTGCGGTGGCGTTACAATGTTTTATTTTTTTTTATTGCAATAAAAACTAAAATATGAATAAAAGAATAACATTTTAATCAATTACTATATTTTCTTCATCGTAATAAAATATACTTCCAACCTTACAATAATTCAGATCTAAACAATCCAATATTTTATACACATGATAACAGACTAGAAAGCAATGTTGAACTGAGATTTTTAGAAGAAAACACGTTTTTTAAATTCCTATTTTACAAATTTGACATTTTAAAATTAGTATTTACAATAACATTGGTACTATCGCCATTTTGTTGCACAATTTAGATTTAATTAAATTTCTCCGATTAAAAAGAAATAAATCACTGTAAAAAGATTATAAACATCATTTCATCATCATCATTATCATCTCAATTTTCACAAATACGTTTTAGTGCTCGTAATATGAATAAGATAACAAAATCGATATAACTATTTCTAATACAATTTTTAATATTTTTATTAGCACCATAGTGATCCAACGTTTGATAAAACAAAAAAAAATCCATAAACCTTTAAATAAAGTCAACTCGAAAGAACATGAACGATAAAATAATTATTACAGTTGCATACGAAAAATGTTACACTTTACAAGTATACTGATATCACTTAAAAATACTCGAACACACGGCAAAAAATACAACTTTACATGTTACTACCTAGACATATAAAGAAACACATAAAATGCGATTGGATTATCATCAGTCTATCACCATTTCGGTTTCCCAAGTGAGAGCTATGTCAATAGGTAACTTGTCTTGTAATTATTACAAAGTAGCACGAAACTACCGTAATAGAATAACTTTACATAAGCTTCGATGTACGTAATTCAGCTCTTTGAGTTTGTTTCTACTCATGATACTTTAAATTCTTAGAGGTGAACAAATTATAAAAAGTGACCCTAGAGTTTCTTGTTTATCTATCTCAGGAGAATCTGCCTTACGAAATAGTAGCAATGTTTAATTAATTTGACGAATTCTAGTATTATTTGCCTACCTATAAAATAAAGACATTTTGACTGCATAACTAGTAACATGTAATCTAATATTTTATAACGTGTGTGCTTATACAAAAATGTACAAATTCCAACATTTATAGCAATGCAGTTCTTCATCTTAATACATTATTAAATTTATTTACAAAATATTCAAGTGGAAGTATCAAGCAAACCACGAATACTGACAATAAAAATTATAAATTAATACGTTTATTTACAATACCATATAAACAGTTTTAAGTTACAAAATTTCAAATTGAATGAAATTGAAACTTAAAAGCAGGGTGGTTCACGATTTCGCTCCACGGCGAAACATGATTCGTGCATTTAAAACAAACCCTTCAGTGCTTGTGATTGGCAAAACTTATATAAACAAACCAAGATAACTAAGCATACGAGGAATCCGATTTATCGCCGATATCATATGTGATATACATGACGGTGTGCTTGTCTCTTAGCTGTCAGAAGTCTGGTAGTTGACACACCTTTAGATTAACTTTGATGTTTCAATTGTTATCGACATTCCATCAAAAATTGTCCCAATGGCAAATAAATGAGTTGTAAATTTTTTTGGAGTTTTAATTTCGAGTTTGTTTTAACCGTTATGACCTATGGTAGAGTATTAGCGAATGCAATGTGTTTCATAGTCATCTGCAGCTGAGCTACAAAGCTATTTGATATGTGTGTCTGTTATGAAATAGAATGTGAATATAATGTCGTGCAAATTTACGGAAGTACTTGTCAATAAAGGCCTACAAGAAAAGGACGAATCATTTCATCAACCTGTATGCTTTAGTTACCATACATAATGTTGAACATCACGCTTCGTTCAAACTCATACCTAATTCAGTCGGGTCTTTACTGATTTTATTCTATTTTTCTACGCTAATTTCAAATGTCGCACTCAAATTCTGACACTCTTTTATTCCTTCCATCAGGCGACATTTGGAAGTGATTGTCCCTTGTTCCTACTCTGGGAAAACCATTGAAACTGTTTCTACTGACTAATGGATTTTCTCTTTCTCGTTCTCTATGAAAACTAGATGTGGAAAGTTTACCATCTTTTCTATCTGCAAAATTCGTGTCGTTAAAATTGTTTTCGGCGAAACTTCTGTCACCGAAATTTTTGTCAGCGAAGTTTCTATCGGTGAAATTCTTGTCAGTGAAAGTCCGCTCGTTAAATTCGCCGTCAGAGAAGTTTCGTTCGTTGAATGGGACGTCTCGGATGCCGAAACCTCCCATTCGAGGAGTGCCGATGCCGAATTTGTTCCGGAACTCTTCATCGCGAAGACTGAACGCGCGATTGTCAAACTTCGCTGGGCCTTTGTTTAATCTGTCATAAAGGTAGTTTTATAAAATTATTAAATTCAAAATGTGACAAACACGGGACATGATTTTAAATTATAAAGGTTGGGTAGAAGTTAACTTTAGGATTGAATGCCTTGTCATTGATCGGTTTGAATTTCTCACTGCATTCTTTGATTAACGTTCTCACTTAGCGCTCAGTAGGTCTAATTTAACTAAATCATGTTCTGGTACTATAATCCACAAGTGTGTAGTAAGTGGTGTGTGTTCACACAATGTAGCTTAAAGTTAATGTCAAAAACAACTTACTCTCTAAAAACCCTCCTTTCTCTATCGTACTCAGCAGATAGTCCTTCGTCGTCATGTATAATAGCCGAGGGGTCACTGTACACTGACGATTCTTGATAGAACGAATCCAAATCTACGTAATTTCCTTCAGAAGGCTCATTGTCCAGAAGCTCTGCTAGTTGCCCTTTGAGTTGGGAGAATGTCGGCCTTTGGGAAGGGTCTGCATGCCAGCAGGAGTGCATTGCACGGTACAGCTGAGGTTTGCAGTGGGTGGGTCGCTCCAGGCGATAACCTTCTGTCACTGCTGTTAGGACTTCGCGACCTGACATTGCTGCATAAGGCGTTGATCCTGAAATTGAAACGCAAACAATTTTATGCAATCCAAGAACATATTCTTATATGAAAACTACTCCTACTTATTGTAAACGCAGTTTAACAGAGGATATATATATTAAGCTATGTACTTAACTGAATAAGGTATGTACTTTGAGATGGAAAAAGCATGCAGCAACTGCTGTTGATATGTCATCAGTTATGTCTAATATTAATGCAAACTCTAACTCTGAACTATATGCGCGATTTTAGATCCAAAACTATAGTTTTATTTCCAATAAGTAGCAATCGTGAAAACTTAAGAACTTAATCGTAATGTTTTATTTCGTTATTGAGAAACTGTGCTGAAATACTGAAGAAATCAGAAAACATTAATATAACACTAATTTGAGAATCTTTGTACTAACCAAGTGTAACAATCTCCCACAATAGTATCCCAAAAGCCCAGACATCAGTATGGTGACTGTAAACATTATACAGCAACGCTTCGGGTGCCATCCATCTGACAGGCAACGCGCCTCGTGACGTCCTAGAGCCACTACCAGCGCAGCGAGACATACCAAAGTCTGCAATCTTGCATAACTTATTGTGATCCACCAGGACGTTGCGAGCGGCCAGGTCTCTATGAACGATCTGAAGAAATATTGGAAACAATCATTGTAAAACGAAACAGTCATAGAACAACTTGCCTGGTTTTGACAAAAGTTTCTTTTCTAGAGAAACCCAGATTTAAACTGTGTACTAATAGAGTATTTATTACTAGTAGAGGATTGATATTGAGTACGAGATTGAAATTTATTTCATTGATCAATTTTGACGTACCCCTTTAGAAGCGATGTAATCCATTCCCCTAGCAACACAATACGCAAAGACAGTAAGATCTCGAGACGTCAATGCCCCGCTACCGCTGAATCTATCTGGCCTGGAGCGTCGTTCGCGCAGATACGTCAACAGCTTGCCGCACATCACGTATTCCATTATAAGAAGGTACGGTTCTGGAATAGATAAAAATATTAGTTGTAGATAAATTCCTTATAATATAATCACATAAGTATTAACATTTACCATTAGAACATTTTCCTATATTATAATAAGTAATTATTGTGTAAGTAAATAATTAGGTCCAAGAAGCAATTAAAATAACTAAACTAACTATAGGCAAATATATTTGTATGGCCTACATTTATTTCTCTCGTGAGTTTGGGTGTAATTTGTGTTTGTCTATGTATGTGTCCATGGCACCCGCGACACAGGGTTTCCCTAGTGCGGGGCTATGTTGAGTGTGTGCGTTGTTATTATAAAAAAAAAAAATAAAAAAAAAATAGTACCTTGTTCAGTACAGCAAGCCAATAAAGTAACGACATTCGGATGAGTTCCAATTTTTTGCATTATGTAGATCTCATGGAGAAGTTCTTGCTTTTCTTTCTGCGAGGCAGTTTCTTTGATTGTCTTCACGGCTACGAGTCGCGTCAGACCGTCATGACCATTTAGGTCGTCGGCTTCTGCTTTCCAAACCTGAAAATTTACGAATTGACACCCATTTGTTAGTCTGATTATATAGAAGCCCAAAGAGAGACTACAAGATATCATAATGATGTTCATAAAAGTGCAGATATCGATAGAATAGAATATTTAAATTTCACCTGGCCAAAGTTTCCTTGTCCTAACAACGTTTGCAATCTCAGTTTATTCCTCGGGAACTCCCATTTCTGATCTGGTTTAGTCGGCATTGGCAATGGCGGCCTTGCTACAGGAGTGATCGGTGATTCTTTCTTGATCTCTCCGTCGTCGAAGTATCCTTCATATTCTGTATCAATTTCTTTGGTTTTCTTATTCATTATATTCCTTAGAACAAATGCTACTATAGCCATTACAGGCAAGAATCCAAGTCCAGCTAAAACGTAAGAAGCTGTATAATTTTTATCTGCTTCAATGACTACTTCTTCATTTTGCGATGTTTGCTCGTCACCTCTTGTGTCATTGATTACCGTCTTACTCTCAGTTTGAGTTAAATTTCGAGGAATAATAATCGGTTTTGAACTAGATTCTGATGAAGTTCTAGAGGTTACAATAAATGTTTTAAAAGTATTTTCCGTTTCTGTAACTGCAGTTGTAGTAGGCGCGCTAGTTTGTGTTGGAACAGTAATTGGCGTTGTTATTACTTCAGGACTTGTATCAGAAGTCATGATTGGTGCCAATGTTGTTGATGTACTAGTAGTTGTACTAGTCGTAGTTGTGGGTCTGCGTCTTCTAGTTAAAATATTCTTAGGTCGTATAGGACCTCCAGTAGTAATGCTACTACTATTGTCATGGTCGATTTGTCGATACAAATTTGCCAAACGTTCCGGTAGCCTGGATGTGGCCTCTTGTTTCAAATCTCCAATATGCTTCGTAAATTCACTGGATGAAGACACAGTTGACTTGTAAGGCGAAGAGAATGGTTGGTTCAAACTACTTTCGGTTGTTGTTGTTCGAATTCTTATTCTATGTTTGTATGATCTTGGTGATGACGAAGGAGCTTGTGTTGTTGTTGTGCTAGTTGTTGTTGATATAGTAAATGGTGTGGTTGAGGAAGTAGACGAGAACGTTGTTGAAACGGTTGTTGTTTCAGTATCATTGAACAAGGCTGCTTTTGCTGTTGTAACGTTCTTAAAATCCAGGCCTGTTGCAATTCTTGAGCTGTTGCCTGATTCTTTGGCCAATCCATCAGTTTTATTCATTCCTTTTATTGAAGAAGTTATTGAAACAGACGTAACGACTGCTGTGTATACTGTGGTTGACGCTTTTTCAGTTGTAGCATTCACTATTATAGTAAATGGTGTATTTTCTGTACTAGATGATGCAGTAAGTCGTGACGGCCGTCTTCGTATATTAAAATAATTTCGAGTATAATTTCTAGATGCCACAGGTACAGTTGTGTTTACTTTTGTGTTTAATGAATTATTGTTTGTCGTATTATTAGCTAAAGTTTTATTCAATATTTCCTTGGTTAAATTAGTGTTGATCGATCTATTGCTGTTTTTGCTTTTATCTAAAGTGCTCGGTGTAACGTTTTGAACAATAGGTTCAGTGACATTCAATTGTGCTATATTAACCGAAGTTGATGGTTGCTGCGTAGTATTAGTATATTTTCTATAAGCATTGACTAAGCCTACGTGTCTAGCAGGTGCAGGACCTTTCACAGTATTCCTAATTTTATTTTTTTCTATAACATTTTTAACAACTGAAACATCCATGTCCTCGTTTATTTCTTCCTCGTCGGCGCTCGTATTCCTATATTTCTCAGTAGCAGAGTACCTTGAATTATACTTTCTTTTTTCTGAAGACGGGGCTGCTATGTAATTAACTGACTTTGTCGAAGCAGATATAGAGGGAGAATTTGTCAAATTGTCACTAATGGCTTGACCGCCAATTTTCTGACCGAAGAATATAAACGGAGCCATATCTTCTACTGGTAATTCAGCTTCAAGAGGCCTGAAGTGATTATAAATTTCATCTGACATGAACAATGTACGATTTTCTTTCTCTTTTTCATTTTCAATTTTAATTAATTTGGTACTCTTAGTGTCTGTTCTATTTACAATAGTATTGGCTTCTAATTTTTCATTTTTTATGACTATTTCATCTGGTTTGTTCGTAGTAAGTACAATTTCCTTTAAATTTTTGCTTGTTACAGTTGTACTCTCTACTTTTGTTGTGCTATTGTATTTAATGTTTGTGTTGATTGTGGTTTTATTCAAAACTGGACTTCGTGTTACATTTTCTGTATCTGAATAGTTGAGTAAGTACAGTCCATGATTAGATTCGTCTACTTGAAACTCTTCATCGGGATCTACATCAACTTCTTTTTCTATGCCTTCAAGCTTTTCTGGCGGAATGTAGAGTACATTTTCAGTAGTTTCTGACAAAGTAACACTTTTGTTAGAATCTTTTCTTCTATTGCTGATAAACCCTGCTCTACTTTTGTTCTCCTGGTATACTTTTGGCACAAATAAATGTCTTATTTCATGTGGCTTGACATCTTGACGTATTATTTCTTTGTTGCCATCTGTAGTTACTAGCTTAAGCGTGGGAGCAGCCTCGTTACTGCCGTTGTTGAAGGTAATCCTTTTGACAATTGAGTTGTTTGAGTCTCGGATCTCCAATTGAGCGAATGTGGTGTTGCCTCTGTAATTGAAGAAAAAAAGCTTTTTGAAATAGTATTTATTTAATTCATAAATTACTAAAATAACTGAACTATTATTATCTAATCTTGCGTTCACAGACGATACATTGACTTCATATAAGTCATTGTAACATCACAAACTACTTACTTGTTAGGCTTATGTGCGAGGTTGGCTAGCGTGCTAATATGCGTGGCCAATCGACCGTTGAGGAGCTGTCGTCTTCTGGCAGCGAGAACAGACAGCAGCTGCGAATCCCTTGTTGCATTGCCACTGCTGGTCGTTGACGTGCGTCGTACTGAACCTGCAATGGAAAACGCACTTAGTTAGTCTGGTTGAGTGGCAAGCGATATAAATGTGAAAGAACTATTAAGTAATTATTAGAGTAAAACGGTTCATATCTCGTTGCATTGAATGCGATCTTTGAAAGTCATTTGCAGCAATTAATATCTAAGTGGTAGAGACAGAAAGAGAGAGTAACATCTCGAATAAATTTTATTATTAATATAATAGTCTTATTACGGCAATACATAAAAATCACATAAATAATAATCACATAAATCATAATAGGCGCTTTGTCGTCGAGTTGCAACCACCAGCCGTTGCACCATGTACCAAGTACAGCAGTACATCCAAAAACAATCAAACAGTTTCAGATTTTGTTTCATATATATACGTTTTATTTATAGAAGATCATAAATATTGGCCACACTAAAGAAAACATTATTTGGTAAATTGTTGTTAAAGTCACGCGACTTTTACAACAATTTACAAAAAAAACCGCAGATGCGCATACGCATGCGTATCTGCGGTTTCTAATCAGCGAATAATTGAAGCAAGCCAAATTAAACGTCCAATAGTTGGATTTGGGTTGTCGTATTTGTCTTTGTTTCTTTGAGGTTTGTATAGTTTCATCTCAATAATATGTAGAATTCATTTGTATTGTTATAGTTATTATTTTTAACCGATTTCTAAAAAAGGAGGAGGTTCTCAATTCGACTGTATGTTTTTTTTTGTATGTATGTTACACGATAACTCCGGTATTTGTGAACCGATTTTCATGATTCTCTTTTGTTGGAAAGAGGGTACCTCGATAGTGGTCCCATTTAATTTTGAAGAAAATCATCCACCTCTAAGGGTGGCTGTTCACGCATGAAGATTCATTTTTATAAATAGCGCCTAAGTTTTATTATAAGGAGCAATTATATTATTGGTTGATTTTGCTATTCTCCAATTCAAGACGTTTTTCTCTCTCTATATACTTTGAGTAGTGAGAACCGATTTTTATCATCTCCTGTGTCAAGTCCCGTATAGTCGCGAACTAGGGGATAAATCCGGGTTTGCGCACTTTCCGGTAACCGATTTCAATAAAACTTGGTAATTATGTGTAATTCCACGTACTTTTGGGGTCGGTTTTTTTAGTACTCTGTACTGAGATTATTTATTCATTTGTTTTCTTATTTGTTTTACATGTTTGACTGTGAAAATGTTTTTTTGGTTTTTAATAACAACTATTTTTTTACTCCTTATAACTAATTAAAAATTTTATTAATAAATAGACAATTCGTTCTCATTGTCTCATTGTTGTTCTTGTCGTTGAAAGGTGACCAATTTAGTCGAACAGATTTTAAGATTATAACCATACGACTTTAATTATTTTTCAGTGCTGATCTGTCTTGGTTTTGTAGCGACCAGCGCATTTTTTTCAAGTTATAAAAAGTTGCTAATTTTTTCGTTGTATTTTTAAGCGACATAAAAATATATGAAGTATTTTTATACGATTCCCCATTTTGTCGTTGCTTTTTCGTCCGTTACAGTTTTTGTTGAACATTTCAATGCATTTGATCTCAACTTACCTAACGACTCTATGGTTTTTTGTGACCGTTATCAACGCAAGCAAAAAACTGTGGCATTTTATGTTTTCACTACAGTAATGTATAGGTACAAATTGGTTTTGAGTCACGACTATTACATGGACTAGTTTATTTTTAGTACATTCGCGTGTTTTAGTTTGGTGCAAGTGTTAAAGTTGTAGTGTTTTTTAATACGCTGCTGAGCACTCCGGCTGATAAAATTTGATCCGCTCTCGAAACTATATATATTTTTTTAAATCCAAATTTATATACAAGTCTTTGTGAAAGATTTCGTCCAGGGGAGTACCACCTTAACTATTTCTGCCGCCAAGCAGTGATATGAGCATTACTGCGTTCCGGTTTGGAAGGGTAATGGCGCTGGTGAAATTACAAGCACATGGGACTTGTCAACTCTTATGTTTCAGGGTGATAGCCGCGGTGACAGTGCAACTTGTTCGTCTCGTCGCTTTGTATCAAAAAATCAGGATTTTGGGTTCCATATTTTGAAGCAGTACGTCATTTTGGTTAAAATTGCATCTAAGTCCATAGTGATGTTTTCAGGGTATGTGAACTTAATATCGTTATACGGTTATTAGCTTTTACTCATTGGAAATGATATTATTGTTTTGTTTTATTAACCGACTTCAAAAAAAGGAGGAAGTTCTGAATTGGGCTCTATGTTTTTAGTATGTATGTTACGCGATAACTCTGGTATTTGTGAACCGATTTTCTTGATTCTTTTTTTGTTGGAAAGAGAGTACCTCCATAGTGGTCCCATTTAATTTTGAAGAAAATCATCTGTCTCTAAGGCTGGCTGTTCACTCATGAAGATTCATTTTTATAAATAGCGCCTAAATTTTATTATAAAGAGCAATTATTTTAATGGTTGATTTTGCTATTCTCCAACATTGTAGTAGTGAGAACCGATTTGTATCATCTCCCGTATAGTGGCGAACTAGGGGATGAGTCCAGGTTTGCGCACTTTCCGGTAACCGATTTCAATAAAACTTGGTAATTATAAGTAATTCCACGGACATTTCAGGTCGGTTTTTTAGTACTCTATACTGAGATTATTTTTATTGAAAATCATGCCAACGTTGGTCTTTACTAGTCCCATGGTCACACCTGACATGCAACCAGTAAGGGTCTCCAAAAGTTTGTTTGTATGCAAAAAAATGTACACGATTTTAGATTAGAAAACGTAGCGTCATTTCTAATTAACGATGTTATATAAATATATTTTTCCAAAAATGTATAGACACAAATGTATATCTCGACTCATCCGTAGAATAAAGATCTATGTGCAAGACTACCTGTTCTCAGGACCATAGTACATTTCGTTCGTTCTTCGTAGCTGTGAATGTCAGATCGACCGTTGTTCGATTTTATATTTCGGAAACGGAATAAGGTATATAAATTCTCAAAACACCTTTACACAAGCCTTAGTTTCAATAACGAAATTATTCTCGTAACGTACTTATCCTCTTTTCGCTATATAATCACATCGGATTTTGTTCTTCCGATGAGTCGATTTATATATTTCAATTGCACAATAATTCAAACTAACGCTTAAATTACTTGGTTATTTCATAATTGCAATGTAAAAAAAGAAAGAAGAAAAAAACACAAAAATAAAAGAAATAATACAACAATTAAAAAGGAAACACAAAACAATATCACAAACAAAACAAAAATAACATAATATCGCAAATTATTTATAAAACCACAAATACTTTGTGCAGTTCCGGCTCTAGCAACAATAGGTAAACCTATTGTTGTTAGAGCCGGCACTACACTAACTCAGCTATTTCTGGAAATCTTTCTAAATAACATATTTGCTGGTAATTTCTATATTTTACGGTTACCTATCAGTAGTCGGAAATGACATTTTCCAGAAATGTTTGCTCGAATTTTCATAACCTCGAAAGTAATTTTGGGAGGAAAATGTTTTTTCTTTTAAGCCTAACTTAACCTACCCTAACCGAACCTAATCGTGTCTTTGCGATAAACATCCCACATATCCTGTAAGAACAACGGTTTCGTTATAATTCGGTTTTCAGTGTGATGAAAATTCCAACAAACGTTATTTCGGAAAAAAAAATCGAGTCTGTGATAGGTTACCATATTTTACTATATCATAAACGGCAGCTTTCTGTAAATCTGTTGTAATTGTTGCAATAATTTATGCGGTAGCAGCAATCTTTCTTCACTTACGACATACGTTGAAGGGCTAACGGCATCCAATGCACGATTTGTCACAATTCGACGTAAGTCATTACGTAATCGTGACGTAACGGAGTACGGTTACTATTTAGAAGTTGAAATGAGTGGACAATGGCTACCTTAATGGAGCTAATGATGATCTATTATTTAACCGTTACCGTTAACTTTATTGCAATGAGTTTTTTTACATTCCTCATGGAACATTTATAGACAACCATTGTTTGTTGATCGTCTAGTGGTATCTGTTCATTTAATGGCTTTAAATAATTAATTAATTAAAATAACAAACATTTTTAAAAACTTTTTGCATTACTCAATTTAGACAGACAGTCCCAAACATTGTAGTTAGAAATGAGAAATTGAATTGAATATCATGGTCAAATTCAATAATTAAACTACAATTATTACCCTACACTAGTTTTATTATTGAATAATATTTTTTTCATGATATCAAAATAACGGCACGAACAAGCCGCGTTGTAAGCTACACGCCTACCTACGACAATTACACTGTCACTCAAAGCTTCAAGTCGCAAAGATCTGAGGGGCACTGCCACTGCTCCCCCCACCCTGAGACACAAGTTGACCAGCATCCTTACCATTCAAAACCAGAACACAGTAATGCTTAGCGGCAGAAATAGGTAAGGTTGCAGTACTTCCCTGGGTGAACTCTTAAGCAAGGAGCTCTGCTGCCACCGATTGCGCTACATTACGCATCACGACTTAAAGTTGGCAAGTCCGTTGTGTCTGTTCTACTAATGCAGAAAAAGGCTCTACGGCTAATTGTTAAATCTAAACGCATACTAGTTACGCACCGAAATTTGTTTGTAGACAATAAAATCCTTACAATTAACACATTATGTCTTATCGAATATGTCTCCATGTTTTTATAAGGGAAAGTTTCCAACATCTGGGCAATGTCATAATTTCAACTTTAGAAATAAGAACAGACTGGCATTAAATAACTCTCGGTTTGCTAATTCCAATAACAGTGTCAACAACATTGCAATCAGAGTATTCAATAATTTAACTAAGGGTCTAAAACTGTGTAGTGATTCCAGAACATTTGAAAGAAAATTGAGAGAGTATTTTATAAGTAGATCATGTTTCTTAATTAATTAATTCTTTGCTAATGTACTGGATAAATAAAATATAATTTATATTGTAATTTTATATTGTATGTAATTTTAGTTTTAGTTGTAACTTAGATTTAGAATAAAAATGACGT